CCCTCAACCCACCCCAGTTACCACAATCGCCGCTACCAAAAAACCCCAGCCTGTCCCCTGGACTCACCTGGAAACCATCCACGTCATCCAAACCTACCAGGAGAAATGGTACTCCCTCAAACGCGGCCAGCTCAAAGCCAATCAGTGGGACGAGATTGCCCTCACCGTCGCTGCCCGCTGCGGCTACGAATTCTCCCATCACCCCGCTAAATCCCCCATCCAGTGCCGCCACAAGATGGAGAAGCTCCGCAAGCGCTTCCGAGCCGAAAAGCAACGGTTTGGACGCTCTTCCCCCTGGCACTACTACCAACTCATGGACTCCCTTGACCGTGGCCCTGTGCCCCCTATCGCTGCCCGCCCCCTCGCCCTATATCCCTTCTCTGCAAACGAGGCGCCCGATTGCGATCACAGCGAACCAATTTACGAGGATGACGATGAAGATGATGAAGAGGGTAAGAGATACAGTAAGTCCAGGAGTATTAATTACATACTGAGGAGGCCTAGTCTTGTAAATAGGTTTGCAGGGAATGGTGAGACCTTTTCTGGGTTTGCGCAGAACTCGTTGAGGAAGCGGAGAATTGAGGAGGAAGAGGAAGAGGAAGGGGAGAGAGGAAGAGGGAGAAATGTTGGATTTGAATTGGCTGCAGAGATACGAGGTTTCGCAAAGAGTGTACTGAGGGTGGAGAGGAGAAAGATGGAGATGATTAGGGAGACAGAGAAGTATAGAATGGACATGGAGAATAAGCGGATTGAAATGATAATGGATTCACAGAGGAAAGTGGTTGATACGATCCAAAAGGCTTTTGGGCTATTGCCAGAAAATCTGAAGTCCGAGCAAGAAGTCTAGTTGGTGAAGGTTTCATTGGTAGTTGCTTTATGATAGTTTAAACTTTCAAAGCATGACTTTCTTTTTTCTTTTTCTTTTGGAATGTTGTTTATAATTTGGAGTACGAATGACGCAGTTGTATATGTGTAACTGGAAGCAACTAACATAGAGATATATATAGATATATCCGAACCCTGTTCAATGTTTAGTTACTCAATGAAGCAGTTTAAAGATCAAACTTATCAAATTTGTTTGTTCAATGATGGAAATCTAGGGTATCTGATATCTGTTATGATGGGGCAGCGTTCAATTTATTATATTGAAATTGTAAAAACTTAATGCACAATCACGCCAAATGCAATTCCCAATTTGCGTTCCGTGTGTTTTGTCTATGCCTCTTGCATCCCTACTATAGCCAGATGGTATGTACAGAAACCTCAAGTTTTTTACTTCTGAGGGATCCTTACTAGTTCTGATGTTACGCATTTCGCCATAATGAGAACAGTAAGCTTTGTTGCTTCATTATATACTTGACGCAGATTCTATGAGATTCAGGCCAAGATCTGCAATTTGATGGTTGTTGGTCGTTTTCAGACAAGGCAAAAACGGGACAATGGTGCTTCAGAATGCTCCGAATGATTTAACTGAATGAGCGCTCTTTTTAGGTTAGTGCTAACACAATTCTCAGATGTACCAGCATGGCAATCAAGACATAAGGATGGATGGGATCGAAGTTGAATTTGAATAGCATTTAGTAAGTTTCGATAATAAGCATCTTTAATATTAGTGTTAATTTGAAACCAAGATATTTGATCACAAATACGACGAAGATTTCGGATTAACTAAGTTCTGATCTTAAGACTCACACATGTTCTGGATACACACTTCTTAAAGCTTGATCGTGTAATGCAATCAGGTCAGTTCAAATCAGAGATCGTAGACCTGATGATAGCATCTTATGATTACGACTCACAGCCTACAAGGGATCCAAACTACTCAGATATGGGTGTTAAAAAAATTATTGTATTGGATTAACTATAACAAAGATATGATATGGTTTACCGAGTAGGGCATGAACTATGACCAAGATATCATGTAGTTTCTCAATTAGGGCAAATTATTGATTCAGTTCTTAATTTATAAGCAACACAAAAACTCAGTCTTGTTCTTTTTAGTCCCTAAACTTTTTACAAATTTATTTTAAAATATAATATTTTAATAAAATACAATTAAAAAAATTAAATGTGTGACAAAATAGAATTAGAATCGAAATTCTAAAAGAAATTATTGTATACCCCTTTCTTATTAAGATTAACATTTAATTATTATAATATTTATGAGTAAAATAAATAAAATTTAAAATTTTTCATCAAATAGTTTAATATAAACGAGATTACGAATTAAAATAATTTTCAATTTAAGCACCAAACCGTAAAAAGGTAAATAAATAACATCTAAACTATACAAAACAAGAAGTTCAGAGATTAAAAATAGAAATTCTTTATTCAATTTTCAAAAAAAGACTGTGCAGATACTTCTCTCGTAGAGTTTTGATCTGGATCAATTAAATAAAAACACAGAACCATGCAACAACTTCTCCAGACTTTTCAACCTGTGGTCCAACTGTTTATGCGCAGCAATTCGTACAAACATGTTGTATGTTCAGAGGCTACCTGCTCGAATGTCGATCCGCCCAAAAGTCAAGTTATCGGTAAACATATTACACAGACAAAAAGGTCTTTATACGATAAACCTGGTTACTGCTGAAGAGAACACCAGTGTCCAAACCGTTTACCATCATCAACAAAGTCCCCGGCAGTTTCTGTATCCTCTAAATATATACACACATATATATATATATAAACACCCAGAAAACTAATTAGCCTATGAATAATAGATTGTTCTGGGACACCAATCTGTCATTTACTCCAACAAAGTTGAGATGATCAATTTCAAAGGCTGTACGGCAGGAAAGGAAATGGAATACCCATTAAAGCTTGCTGCACTTGAGAGACTACATAATACAAGTATTTTAGAGGCCACAGTCGGATGCCAATCACTTTTACCACTAATCATTTTATACACCAGAAAGAAACCTTGTATTCACAAAATTTTCAAAGGCCTTTTGCCTGTAACAATGATCACTACCCACTTAATCTGAAAGGTAATAGTACATCCACTAATCTACTGGGGCAAAACCGAACAGGCACCCTCTGCCCATCTGCAGAGGGAAACCAGAGAAAAAAAGGGGCAAAAAAGGTACAAGAAATGGGAGAGGAGACTCCTGTACAGGTACCTCTATATCTGTCTCCATTCTCCCAAAAATTCTTAGCCAGCGGTAATATACATACTTTCCCCAAAAGGAAAAAAAATGGTCTACCAGCATTTCTTTTGCAAACTGATGACCCCACCGGCAAATAAGAATCACCACATCCTTCTGTCTTGTAACCAGCTCTAACCTGCAAGCAATTATGGTTGGATTAGTCATCTCCTCTGTTAAGAGATAAATCAACAATGTGAAGAGCTGGCCGCTCGCCCCATACGGGTACCCACCCACCCATCCACCACCAAAAAATGCTTTCCAAAGTTCCCAACTTGATTACAATCCAAGGATGAAAAAACCACTCATGGAACGTCGAACAAGAATTTGGGGCTAATGGATAAAAAAATATATAAACGAGGAAACATTCAAAGAAAAAGTATTGAGTGACAAAAACAAATATGTTATGTTACAGAAGGTAACTATGGATAGCTATAGTGAAAAAATAAAACATTACCTGTACACTGCTGTTATGAGGGCATGCAAACCCAATTCTTGCTGAACCGACTCTCAGCAGGATGCTGCTCAATCCAGCAGACTGCTTCATTCCACCTTAGAATTAGAGGGCCTGATATACAAACTTCCTGCTGCTGGTTGCAAATGTTGCATTTGTTGATGTGACTGCTTCTGTGACGGCAACTGGTGTTGGTTGGACTGTTGCTGCTCTTGCTGCGGTAGTTGCTGTTCTTGCAGTTGATACTGCTGTTGGGTTGGTGATGATTGTTGCAACTGTGACTGCTGTTGCCACTGTGCCCCCACATGCCCATGAGAGGACAAGCTACCTGATAGCTGCCTTTGGCCTAACCCTTGGCTTGCAGATGGTACTAGATCAGTCCCAGTGGCATTTGTAAGCAACGGCCCACCAATAGATCCCACTTTAGATGTATTTGGCATGCCAGATTCATATAGAGGTTCTGAAGCTTTCCATTGAGAACCGATTGCTGTAGAAGCTGCAGGAATTATGTTAACTGAATCAATACATGCCTGAGGCGCAGCTACAGTAACACCAGAGTTCCCCTGGGAAGCGCTCTTCCCAAGCGGGTCAGCTGGAATTTGATCAGTTTGAGTTTTACTTGAGAATCAGAATTCCCCTGACGGTTCTGTGGAACCATTCTCTGAGCAGCTGATTGTGTTTGATTGACCTGTTTTGGTGTGGCTGACCCTGAAGCTGTGATGCTGGTTGTTAGGAGCTATAATGCCGGCTGCAAATA